GACAAATGATGCATTTAACAACAAAAGAAGATAAATATTTTATTTGATTGCTATTTTTATTTATAAAATATCATCAATAAAAAAATATTAAGAATTATTTAAGGTATTTCTGGTTGGGAAATGCCTTAAATAATCTTTTTATTTTTTAAAAAAGGATTATTTAAGGTATTTTTAGTCTAAAAGCACCTTAAAAATACCCTTCACTTTTTTAGACCGTATTATTTAATGTTTTTTTTACTAAAAATACTTTAAATAATTCATTTCATTACTTATAAGATTTAAGAGATAAAATATAAAAAAATTAGAATAGCTCAGTCAGTTAGAGTATATGGTTATTAACCATATGATTGTAGGTTTGACCCTTTCTTCTAACACTTTAATGTTTTTTTAAGGGGATTATTTAAAACTTTTTTTGGTTAAAAATGTCTTAAATAATATCTTTCAATTTTTTGGACTGTATTATTTAAGGGGTTTTTTTTACTAAAAATGCCTTAAATAATCAATTTCATTATTTATAAGATTTAAGAGATAAAATATAAAAAAACTGGAGTATCTCAGTTGGTTAGAGCATATGACTATTAACCATAAGGTCATAGGCTCGACTCATCCTTTTAGTGTTTATTTTTTGGGTTTACTTATTTTTTTAGATTATTTAAGGCATTTCTAACTAGAAAACGCCTTAAATAATGCTGATTAATTTTTTTAGGGGATTATTTAAGGAGTTTTTTGCTAGAAAATACCTTAAATAATCCCATTCAATTTTTTGTAGATGATTATTTAAGATGTTTTTTGACCTTAAATAATCCTAAAAAAAAAAGAATAGGATTATTTAAGGCTTTTTAAGCTAGAAAATACCTTAAATAATCCTAAAAAATTGAACAAGATTATTTAAGGCTTTTTCATGCCAAATGCCCTTAATTACAATATAAAGAAATTTTTTTTAGTAATAGAAACCTACAACTAATTTGTAATCACTTTGAAACATACTTTTTAAAATAGTAATGGCTATTTCATAATTTTTTATTCAGGTAAATTTTGAAAATAATGTAATTTTTTCCCTAGAATCCTAGAATACCATAGGGAGATATAGGTTTTTGATTTTGGGACTTTGGGTACTATTAAAAATCTATCACTTTCCCTCGAAATCAGATTACCTTGAACCAAACATTGGAATCAAATACCTAATAGTAAGATTCTGAGGGAAAATGCACATATTATCCCAAACCAAACGCCCCATAAAAGAGTACGTCATGTATTAGCTTACAAAGATTTTACAAATTTCACTGCTCACAGCCTTAATTAAGATTATCATTATTAAAATCCCTCTTGATCAAGTGAAAATTAAGTTTGTGAGACTTGAGAAGTTAGGCTTTAGAATGGTATAATTCTCAATTGAATTGGAGTACGGGTTGGTTACAACTAGATATGTTCATTCTTGATAATAATTACCAATTCCCTTAAGATTATTTTCACATGTAATGTAGGAATTCATATGACAAGATTGGAAGCAAAACTTAGGCAAAAACTCATGCATATGTCAAAGCAAAACTTAGACAACAAACTTAAAATTTTGAAATCTTTCCACAAATTATTTGATACTTCATATCCAAAAGAAAAACTATTATAAAGCAGATTTTCATTGCTCTATAAGCTCTATGGTCAAAGTGCCATTATTGATAAGTCTTTCAATTTTCTCTTTCAAATGCCTACATCTTTTAATTGAGTATCCAATTGCCTCATGTGATAATCACATCTACCATTAGGATCATAATTTTTCATTGATGGATTTGGAGTTGTTTTTAAAAGCACATGGGTGAGGAATTGGTGCTTTATTAGTAAAGGCAATAGGTCAAGAATTGGGATTGAAATTCTCTTTTGATTATTCTTTGACCTTTGTAACTTGCTTCCTGATTGGGTAGCAAATTGAGTGATTATTGTTTGAGGACAAAGATTTGCATGAAAGCCTAACTATTGCACAGGTTGGCAAAGATAAGGATTTTGAGAAAGGTTGGTTATAGAAGGGTAATAAGGTGGGTACACTGAATAAATCTGACATGGGGTAAAGCTTTTAGCCTATTGCCCCTCATAAATCACAACATAAGCATCTTTTTCCTTCTTCTTTGGTGCATAATCTCTCGTTGCATCATTTACCATTTTTTTTAAGTTTGCCATTCTTGCTTTTTTTATCATCTCCCTATAAATTACCATATTAGCAAAATTCTTAGTGGTATTTCCAATAATCCTTTCATAATATACAGATTTGAGAGTATTAACAAACAAAATCGTGATTTTTTTGTCAGTGAGCGATGATTGAACTTGGGCAATAACATCTCTCCACCTCTGGGTATATTCTTAAAGCCTTCAGTGTCTTTCTTTTTCATACTTTGTAATGACAAATGATCTAAAACCAAATCTAAGATATGTTTGTATTGTGTGATAAACACCCTAGCTAGTTCTTTTCAACCACATATGTGGGACTTATCCATTTGGACACATGACTTTAAAGTAGATCCAACAAGGCTATCTTGAAAAATACAGATGAGCAACTTTTCATCACGTGCATGTGTGATCATTTTGTGGCAGTACATAGTGGCATACATTATTGGATATTTGGTTTTATCATACTTTTCAAATTTAGGGACTTTAAACTTGGGTAGAATGATCACATAAGTAACCAAGCATAGTTCAACAATATCCATTGAACCATAAATCCATCCCCTCAATAACTCGAAGCTTTCTTTAATAAAATCAATTTTTTGTTGAGATTTAAAGCTTTTCTTAGTTTCTACTATGTTTGTCTTTAGCTTCTCTTATTCTTTTAGATAATCCAGATTAGAAACTTGAGTTGGATCAAGAATATGAGCTAAATGAGGAAGAGCCATAGTTACAAGCATATTAGTATGCATGTAAAGGTAGCTTGCCTAAATGGCATTTAACATTGAGCCCCTTGATATGTCTGTTTGGAATATGTGCCAAAGTCAGGTTGGTATATTGGATCATCAATCTATTCAACTACTATTTTCTCTTTGTTCAAATTCTTCAGCAATTCAGTCGTATCTTCTAATTACCCTTTCATCTCTTCTTGTGCCCTTTTTCATATTTTGGAAGTGAAAAAGCATGCTTTTCTACCATAATTCTGGCTTGATATAAAGATTAAGCTATTATTGAACCTTTTTACCACAATTAGGATGATATGTTACTAGATGCTAAGAATTATCCTAACTTGTTAGAAACATTCTTCTATATGCATGAATGAATAAATGAATGCACATATTGAATGTGATACACAATAATTCAATGATGCATGAGTAGATAAATAAATGCATTCACATAACAATTTAATGATGCATGGATTGACAAATGACTGCATGAATGGATGCATGAGTTAATGTTTCGCTAGCTCGAACAAAGATATGAAATCTCACGAAAGTGTAGGTACTTAACTCACTCCCAAGGGACAGAGCACCTGTGTAAAGCTTATATTGTGTAGATGCAAGTGAATGATAGAATATGGTACAATTATAAATAGACAAAACATTCAAAGAAAAATTCTTAACTTTAACTCAGGCTTTGGATAACACAAGTTTACTGACTTGACTCTCCACTATCTCCACTGGAGTCACTAAATTGTTATAATGTATAGATCCATATACCTATAGCTAAACTTTACTTTAAGGAGTTGCCACCAATTTTTTTGTTAAGGTATGATTCGTCACCTAAGTTAATCTATCTCTTTTTAAAGAGAAGTCTCAAGCTTAACTTAGGTATATTTAAAAGGTAGATAAATATCTATAAAACTAAAATTAAGTTTGGGAGTATGGTTAAGTGTGAGGAAAGTTATAGTACCTTCATAATGCTCATTGAATAATGGTAACCGTTTGATTTTATGTTATCCAAGCCTTAAAATATTTTTAAATTTTTACCAAGTAAAATTAATTATTAAAAATTGATCTTAAAATGACTCCAATAATTTGGTAATGATTTAAGATAATTTTCTCATCTTAGGAATATTTATGGAGACTCGTGTTCCACTTTGAAGAAGCTCCATTATTGGATTCATTAACATTTTTTTTTAAGAAATTATTGTTTGAAAGCAAATAATAAAATCCATCAATCATTTGGTAAGATTTTATATCAATGCATATCCTCCAATCGTTTGGTGGGATTTTTATTTGAAAACCTCGAAAATTTTATTTGAAAAAAAAGACATTAAATCCTCCAATAATTTGATAAAATTTAAAGAAAATTTAAATCCTTTAATTATTTGGTAGGATTGAAATATTATTTTTCGAAAATTAATTATGAAATTATCTAATCATTTGGAAGATTTCATAATTCAAGATTTAAATCCTCCAATCATTTAGTAAGAATCATGAATTTATTATAAAAATTTATTTTAAAAGAAAAAAGAAAAATGATTGAATAACATAAATAGATATACAAATACAGAAAAAATATAAAAATTATCTTGTCTTCTTTTTTGTTTCTCTACAAAACAATCTTTGGCTTCATTAGTGCCCTTTGCCTCTCTTTTGTGTTTTTTCTAAACCCCTTTCACCAACATAAAATTTTCAAAAGAAAATCTTAATTATCTAAACCCAAAACATTAGAATAGATTATAAAAAACCTCTTAATTTTTTTTTCTTTTACTCTTTCTCTCTTGATTTTTTTTTTTGATTGATTCTTCTTCTTTGTATCTAATGATCCTAATAAGGTCTTTTATATAAACATCTAATCCAAATCACAATTGGAGAAAGTTTTCTTGGTTTAAATCTCCTAATTAAAGTCAATTTTAGAATTTTAATCCAAGTCTACCTCTTAAATCCATACATTCTCTTTTCCAATTAGAACACTAGACTTCAAACCAAATCAAACTTTTCCCTTTTTCTTTTTTTTTTTAAACCATAAATCAATTAATTAACAAAATAAATAATCTTATCTAAACAAAATACTAAAATCCTAAACTACCCTAGACTAAATGGGATGTTTACACCTGTCTCTTGAAAATCTTGATTCTTATTATATTTTGTAACATCAACAATGCATATCTCCATGTTTTTCAGCTAAAATTACAAGGCATTTGCTCAAAGGATAAAAAAAAGAAGAGAACATATGTTACCCTTAAAATTACCATCTCCAACTTGGATATAAACAAAATTCACTCAATTCTTTTCACTGGCACTTCTATTGATGGACAACAACTTACTGAACATTTTTTTGGGTTTCGTAGGTAGAGCACAGAAAGCCTTAAACTTAGAAGATCTTCCCATTCCATCAGGGTTCATATCATTTTCATCCAAATCATCGTCTTCATCAAGCTTCATCCTTAATGTTGAAATTCTGGACTTTGGTGATTTAAGTCCTGAGACGCTCCATTGTTCATCTGCTGGAATGCTAGTAGTAGTGCTTAAAGGTCCTGGCGGCCTTGATGGATCAATCTTATGAGAGGCTAAAAGTGCCTTAATGTTGGTAGGGAGCTCGGTCACTTTGCCCCCAGCTGTGGCAGCTCGAGCTTGCTCGAAGAAGAGAACTTGTACCACTACTCTAAGAGGAAGTTTTTCATTTTGTGCAGCATGCATGCAGGCCTCAACAGAGAGTTTTTTGCAGTCTAGAATCCGGCACAACTTTTTCCTTTCGCTCTTGTTTAGGTTTGGATGTGCCTGTACATTCAAACGTAAGAACTACAGTAATCTGCACCTTCATATTAGCACTAATAACTGAGTAATTTAATGCCACTATTTTTCTATATGTTGGTATAGACAGAATTAGTAATATTTTTTAGATGATTGCAATTATCCACTAAGGATTTCCCTTCATCTTGAAAATCAAGGAAATGCTATTCATTCTTCGCCTAAGACAACTCTGTATGTCAACAAAGGGAATATTTGAATTGCAGCCTAATCCTAACTGCCAATAAATGAAGAACATGGAAAGACTATTAAGTCAAGGGATTTGGTTAGCTACTGAAAATGGTGACCCACATCCTAAAATGTGATGCTGAAATATTGCAAAAATTCATCAGAAGTGTGGAATATGGTAAACTAGAATATGGTAAACTAAAATAAGGTTACGAAACCAGTTTTATTTACCTTGAGATAAATGTCAATAGCTCGGTAGAGATCATCGTGGTCAAGCCGTGAGAAATCCGGGATTGTCTCAGCTATTGCAATGAATTTTGACAGAGGTAAATTTATGTCTCTGGCAATCTCTTGAAGATACCCATCTACAATTTTGGCTACTTTTAGTTTGGCGCTGTGTGATGCTGAAGAAGACCTTCTACTTTCCTGAAACTCAAAATCAATATTCTCGGCTGAACGGGACCTTCTTCTCCTTTCAAACCCCAACTTGGATCTTGGAGGGCTGGTTGGAGGACTCTGTCCTTGTAACATGAATTGCTCCAAAATGGTCAGGGCTATGTCTACATCATAGAGGGTATCGCTTGAGTATGATAGAGAGGGTATTAACAGATCACTGACTCTTGCTTCCTCTAACTGAAGTGCTGCTCTTCTAGCCAATTCCATCTTTGAAGAAGATGACGCATTAAGAATGTTTGCTGCTTTCAAGAGTTTAAGCAGAAAACTGCAAGAAACAGCTCCTTTCTCTGACGGGAGTAAACTAACGATTGATTCCAACAGCAGCCTTTGCTTTGAAGTAGCCTCACTTGCTGAGTCTGAATCTGAGTCAGATGCTGCTCCTTTGTTAGCTTTTACATGTCTGGATATGTTAGGTAACCAACGAGATGCAAAAATTTGCAATGCTTCACCAATGAGATTAGAGGGTATTTTTCCACCAGATTTAACTGCTATCATGGTTCTCCAGTAGAGGTCTATACCCAACTCAGCCATGTCCTCAGCCCACCAACCTTTGGTTGTTGGTTTGTGCCGCTGGCTCTCCTCTCCATTACAAGATATATCATCTCTTACCCTTCTTGACTGACTACGTGACAAGCTCACCTTTGAGGGGTGTGTTGAAACTTTTGATGCAATTGCTTCTATGCATCTGCTAGTAATTCCGAGGTCTTCTGACCATAGAGGATAGCCTTTGGTGCTTTGTAGAGTCACAATAGAGTCTTTCCATCCATGTAGGATGCATGAATTGAAGAAAACTTCGAGTTTGTAAACCAAGTTCCCCTTCTCAATATCTTCTGTCATCTGTAAATATTCGGCAGCACATCGTGCAGCTACAATGTTATACGCGCTGAGAGTGATTGTGATACCATAACAGAACTTTGCACAGAGCTCAAACGCCTCAATTCCACCAGGGAAATCAGGTAGTTGGATTATTTGGTGTTGTAATGTTTCAGGGCATTCAGAGCATATTCTCTGCAGCCGCAAACACTTTGACAACAGAGGAAACTGCATGGAGAATGAATTTACAAGAATCAATACAAAAACCAAGATTAGAACATAATTCAATAGAATTGCAACGAATACAGGAGTTAGCCTTCCTAGTAGTAAATTATCTCATAAATTTTTACCTTGTGAAGCAGATATCTATTTCCTTTCACTTGAATTATAAGGTCACTAGAGACTTCAGAAGAGACAGACCTGCATCAAGAAAAGAAATCCATGGTATCTTCCTCAAGAAAAACATCTAATCAAAACTTATCTCTGTCTTTAATCAGTCACAAGAATCTTACCTTACAGCCTCCGCAGTGTAGAAGGTGTCAGGCCGAGATCCAAGTTTCATAAACTTCATGAGTAAATCTTGTGTTGTTTTTGTTCTTCACTTGGCTTTGTGTATTCACCAGATACAACTTAATATGATGGAAACTAATCAGAACTTTTTTTCATGCTTTTGGCGCACCAAAAGTCATAACAGGTTCCTTCTCCAACAGCAAGCAAAAGATGTTCTCCGAACAATAGACCACCCATTTCCTGTACGAAAATTTCCCAACTAAGCAACCCCCAACTAGAAACCAAAACAAGAAAAAGAGCTCTAACTCCAGAAAGTTAAAAATCTTTCTATATAGCAACAAAACAAATAAACTGTCAACAAAAAAAAAAAAAAAACAATTTTACTGGAGGAGATACTAGAGGGGATATCCAAGGAGTACCAAGAGTTTTTGCTGTGGGTGTAATGCTCTCTCTGAGTTTTATATATAGATTTTTTTTATATAGCACAAATAGTCAAGTGACAAAAACCCAGTAAGATCAAATGATCCAAAGTCTCAAGTCCTTTCAGTCATATTCCATATCCAATCTGATTTGGACACGAAAAACAAAGAATCAAGGCCATTGCAATCCTATGAAGATCAAGTATTCTGAAACTCTCACCATGTCAATGAACCCAAAAGCATGGTAAAAAAAGACCATAAGCACCTCTCCCAAATAACATACATAAATGTTAAGTTTCACTACGTTACTCTAATTCGAAAGACTAAAAAGAGTTCAAATAAAGAATGTTTTTTGAGACAACAACCTGAAATCCAAAGCTTTAGATACTCTCTACACAAACAGCAACTGCCAATCATTCATCGGAAAATTCAACCTGAATTTATATGAAAAACCATGTTTTGTGTCTGAATATATATTTTTAACCCTTTTGTAACATCTAAAAGAATATATGATTTCAAGCCATCAGTCTTCAAGGGGATTTTGCCATGCCAGCGTGCAGCACCCACGTGCTTAACCTGCGCCCACTTATGCTCCTCTCTCTCATCATTGCTATTCCCATTTTTAATTTTTCACCTGTACCCCCCCTGCATTAGTTTAGTCAAACACTAATTTATACGCAACATCGTACGCCTCTCAATTTCCATTTACCATTTTTTAAGAAAAAAACGAATATCAGAATAAAATGTTAAAAAATATATATTACGAAAATTTCTGCAATTTATATTGTCTGCTTTACAAAGTATATTATATAAAAAAAAATACAGAAAAGGAAGGTAAAGGAAGAGCCTAAAACAAGGAATAGGATACGTGTATCGCTATCATAGTAGCCTTTATCCAATCCTCACCTACGGCTTTGCACTTTGCAGATTAGATTTTATAATTGGGGCTGCAGCTAGAAGTCTAAAACTGCCCTTGAGGTTTCACTAGAATATCACCAACAACCCTTTCCTCCAATCTAAGCCTAATGGTCCAATGATCATGCAATTCAATAGATTGTTGGTGTGAAATGAAAGAAACAGTAGTTTAAGATGGGAGTGATGTTAGTATGAGGTAAGGGACTTGTTTGTCCTTCGTAAAGAGATTCATCAATGAAATGTGTTATGTTGGCAGTTGAAGGTCAACTTCAGACTTGTTTTTGCATTGGATTCTTACAGGCTATGGCTTTTTATTGCTCTGCAGTCTTTTTTGTTCTATTTTAAGTGTCTTTTTTCTTTTATGGTTGAGATTGACAGGAATGTGGGCTCGAATTGATTGAATGATGAGTAATCCATAGTTCCCTACAAAAATATGAGAATACAGTTTTTCCTTCACTTCCTCAAAATATTAAGTTAGGTAACCCCACATCATTCATGTTTTAAGCTCTAGCTAGACTTTTCACTGCTCGAATGGGTGCGATTTATGTGAACAAACGAATAAAATTAAGAGCTTTTCCAGCTTATGCATTATTTCTCTTATTCAAATATTTTGCATTCATTTAATTAAAACAAAGAGAAAGCAAAAGCAGCTAGAAATTACGAGGAAAATCCTGAAGCTGTCAAAGCATCTAAGCTCGAGGTTACTTTTCAACCAAATAAACAATACAAAACAAAAAGGAAATGCTTTTCATGACAACCTGATTTCGCTCAAGATGTTTCAAGGGACTTTCTTCTGCTGCTATATATGCATGAAGTGAAAAAGAAAAGCTGAAATCTCTTCAGTGATGCTATAGGCTGCAGCGTTATTCCAATTGAAATAGAAGTATATAAATAAAGCGAGAAAAGGTGACTGACCCTTTTGGAGAGATCTTGGTAAGGATGTTTCAGGAATCTCGTGTGCTTAATTGGATTTTAATTGATTTTCAGACAATCCAATCAATAAATAGGTTAAAAATGTAACGTTTAACAACCAGTTTTTGTCAAAGAGAGATAATGTCCAAGTGTTGTCTACCCAAATGTTGTGCCGAATTGGGGCATGATCACAAGTGGGATTTAGACTCGGTCCCCGCTTAGTTTCGACTCGATCACTGTCCGTCCAGTAAAGACCAGGGCTTTGTCTTGGCTCCATCGATGCCGACCCCAAGCCCAGGCAACTTTGGCGATTTTGATATTTCCTGGGTAAGCTAAGGATAATATATGAAAATTGAATGGCGTTGGATAGAGGAAAAGTCTTTGTGGGCATAAGTTGATGCTAACCCTACGTCAGAAAAATGGGTGATTCACAAATGCTGTAATGGTCCTTCTCTGTGCTACCCAACGGGGTGGCCAACCGACAAACCCTCCTTTAGTAGGACCATCTTGGGGTCCATGGCGTGGGACCCTTGTACCCCTACTCTCCCAATATTAGAAACCCTTTAATAGTTTGGATCCAAAGGGGTTGAATTTTGGACCTCTTGCCCCTGGCCTCTCACATCTTAACAAGACCAGATAAGTTGCATAAGAAAAATTGGATCCTCATTAAATTATTGTCGAAAATCTAAATTATTTGAAATGAAAGAGCAATTTAAAAACATTTCATTGCAGAAGAAGATTGGACTAAATGGAGATGCATACTATTAGGTCGATGACAGGCACACCGCACATCCAATTGAGAATCTTATAGTTGATGCATGGTGGCAGGCAGAAGGTGACGGCCATGTGGGATCCCCCCAATGCATCACTGTTCCGTTGATAAGTATATACAATTGTTGCATTTATTAAGTAACAATAAATCATAAAACAAGACACCATTTGCAGCAAACTGCTATTGAGTTTGATATTTACTTTTAACAACATATGAATTCAATAAAGAGGGCTCAAGAGGGGCCTGAAACATTGAAATGTCGCAGCGATTAGGTTGGTTTGGTTAGGGTTGCACCCGACACACAAAAATTAAATTTAGTCTAGTCATCACCAGAAATGCTTTGAAGGAAATGGGTGGTGATAATTGATAAGCTTTAAAGCAATTGTCTGGTCTGGTAATCATCTAGAGCGAATGTTGCAAGCTCGTGTTATCGCTGTCTGTCTGTTATAGATAATCCCTTTTTAGGGCTTGGAATTTTGGACGTATTAGAAAAAAAAATGCACACGCACAACCCAATGACATCTGTGCGTGATTTGATAGCATGCAGGCTTGGCCGGTTGGTATCTTTTTGTGTTCGTGACTTATGAATTGTAACCTTCAGACTTACAGGAGACCTGATCTCCATTCCCTTCCCCCTAGTGCCACCCGCCTTGGCCCTGGCTCTGCGTGGAACGAAAGTCACTTTCAGCTTTTTCCAATGTGGTGCCTTGCTCATTTACTTGTGCGGTTTCTGTGTTTCTAATGAATCAAGGCCTTGGCGAAAAATACCAAAATTGAAGGGAAAAAATTCCCAACTCTAACACGCCTTACACGTAGCTCAACTACGTCCAGCATTTAGTTGGTTCAACACCATCAAATTGGTTTATTTACGTCGGATTTCCAGTGTTGAACTTGCAAATTCGAGGAGACACAAATTAACAGCTTTTTGAATGTCAAGGGAACATGAGATTTTTTGGTACAAATCGTTGATTGATATATATCTAGCGAAACATCGTATCAAACCAGAATCACCCATCAGTTTGAAAATTTTCATCATTACTAACTCCGTTACTTTTGGCCATTTACTGAATGAATTAGTAAACGGCCAAATGTTGCTCTGACCAATTCTATCTACTGATTGAATTAGTGGAGTTACTTGAGTAGCTTAGGCGGGAGAAAACTCAGAGAATTTGGCTATAATAAGAGAGCTTATGTCCAGGCATCATACCTCAAGAGAAGACTTGAGTAGGAGAAGAAACTAAGGTTCATATATTTTCCTGTTCTATTTCCATTTTAAGGTTCAATTTCTAACATGCAAAGTGAAAAGATTCAATTGATGTGAAAACTAGCTCCTGAATTCTTCCATATTAAGAAATTTTAAGGATTACTGCATACATTGACTTCAACAACTGAGGTTTTGAAAGCATTTTTGTAATTGCAGCATTGACAACAAAATCCAATTGGTAATTTCTTTAGTTTTTTTTCGTCTTTCCACCAATTTAATGACTCTACTGTCCTTCCAAACACACCTGTAATATTCAAATACCGACGTCTTAGAGGTCAAGAAGCACCACGTCTAGTGCTGAGCTCGTCCCACATCATTAATTGATACACTTTCTAGTTTGGCCTTACGGAAAATCTGTGTCATGATCATTAACCTAAAACAAAATGATGGCCTTGGAACAGTAGATGTCTTATGTTTAGTCAAAATATACTATTACCATCTCAGAGTACCGTCTCCAATGTCCATCATTAGATGGATCTGATTATGGACAAGTCAATAACAAAAGCGTTTTAAAAGCTTGAAAATCACGATTGCAGTTGTTAAATGATGGGATATAGCCACTCTTTTCCCCCAAGTAACCCACCTTATTCCTGTGTTTGTCGAAGATTCGCGTGCAACGCATGGCAAAGGCAGGATGAGTGTGACACGACAAATTAGATTTCAGCTTTACCTTACTATTATTGACTGTGAAAAAACCCCCCCAAAAAAAGCAATATTTAAAATTTTTTTTTTTTTTTTGAGTATGAATGATTAGTAGTAAACCAATCATCAAAGTGGCCCCATTTTATCAAGATCTTGGTATAATTTGAAAGAGATATTACATAATAACACACTATTATAACTTTTCACTGTTTGGTGGACTCGAATCTAAGCTTTTTGATGTTTGGGTAGCAGAAAAGATGATTCATCCAGCTAAGAATTGCCATTTCCCCTTGTTTGTCAATTGAAAACTCGATCCTTGAGAAAGGGTTGTGCCTGACAGCAAAAAATAATGCCTTGATGCCTTTGTTTCTACTGCCAATAATTTGAGTGTCCATTACTAACGATCATTTAAAAGTCTTAAAGTTTCGGAGACTTAAAAAGTTGACAGCAGCCTAGATTAAGAAATAAAAAGGAAACTAGCTTCTTCAATTAGAATCACGATAGCTTTGATTTCAATTATTAGGTAAAAAATTTACAATCAATTAAATAATTAAATCAGTAAAAATATAATCAAATAATTAATTAATCACACAAAAAATAATAATTTAATGTGATTAAATAAAATCAACCTAAAAATAAAAAAAAAATCATTAATTATATAGAATTACAAACACATCATAACAATCAACACTTACTCACAATTAATATCTATGGATTATGTCATTCTCCTCTAATTTTACAGAATATTTTCAATCTAAATAAATAAATATTCATATGACTTACCATACCTCTCATTCTTCTCTATTTCACTCAAGCATATACATCCATAATAACAATTTGAACTCCTATAATCCTATAGGTATTTATCCAATAAAATTTTATAATTCTTTTATAATTTTTTTCATACTTAATATTATAGAGACTCTACTATTTATTGTTAGTGCAAAAACTAAAATTCTAAAATTTTTGCTTTTGATAAATTTGAAATTTCAAGAAAAAGCTCCAAAGCACGTAATGGTACCACTTTTTTTAAGATTTTATTCGCTCTCATCATATTATTTATTTAGTGGGTGTGCAAAAGAATTACAGGTGATAAATCTCGAGGATACAATAAAGTTTAGTGACTAACTGTGTTTTACACTGATAAAATCAATCCACCAAG